GGATGTTTCCAGACACGGGGAGACCTTCCCCACCCCAGCACTCCATTAGTGTGCTCGCAGGTGTACCTGCTCACTGCCAAGAGCACACATGAATTAGTGCATTCTCCCAAACCTGCCCACAGGAACTCCTGGGGGATGAGGGGCAGCAGCCAGCCTTCGTGAACACCTCTCCGAGTCAGGCCCATGTCTCCTGAGCCTCGCTAATGTACAATCCATACCGGGAGATAAAAGTCTAGACAATAGATGGCTGTTTATGGCAACGAGGCTCTCCAAGTTTGGAGCCAGGCGATAAATCTCTGGCGAATCTTCCTGTAACTCAACTTCTGGTTGTAGAGAACTGCCGAGACTGCAGAGAGGAAAGCTTGCAAAATGGGGGAGAAGGCTTCTCTGCTGGGGCCAACACAGGCTGCCACGTTTGCCCCACTCATGTCAAGTGGTAGATCTACACTGTGGAAGCTTTCAGATCAAGCTTCAGAATACAAGGGAGGCAGCTCATCCTGGCTTCCCGGCTCCAGAAATCAGGGTTGAAACGTGCAGGCTGATGGCAGGGCTTGGAGGCTGGGACAGATTCACAGACCTTTCTTAAAGGAGGCAAATGTTCTTTTTGTTGGCGGTGGTGCCTGGAATAGTCTTGCTATGTGTCACCTGAATTTTTTCACCCCACACCTCCGTCCTCTCCCTTGAGCTCTCTCTTTCTCCCTTTTGGAATTATGGGCTGTCCCCTTTTGCATTTTCGATCCAGGCGTCTGATTACAAGTAAAGAGCCACTGAAGTTGATCTCATAAAAATGCCGCTAGCTCACTTTGATCAGCAGGGACTGGGTCCGAGCCTAAGTAGGCGCTAAAGCTGGGGAATGGCGGCTCCGGCCAAGCCGGCCTCTGGCCTCTGTTCTGGCCACACTGAGGCTGGAATCCCGTAGGCCCAGTGCTGCAAGACGGCCTCGAAAGGCATTTCTGTGTGGTTTGCAACTGGGCTTAGAAACCCGGGCCTACCAGTTGTGGCTTCATTTCCAGACTGTTTTAAAGACATTTCCTTCATTTTAGAGCATTTGGTTGAGGGGGCCAAGTGAAACCGGCTCATAAAACGGGGTTTTATGGGGAGAAATGGGGTCTCATAGTTAGTCTCCAGGGACTCTCCCTCCTAGAAGGACGCTGGGCGGGGCCGCAGGGAGTGGAGGAACTGCCTTTGTACCCCACCCCCACCCCTCTCTTCCAACCCAGGCAACTTCGGAACAGGGTCCATCAGCTTAGGTGGGCTGACAGGGGACTTCAGACTTGTAGCAATGGCCAGAGCTGGTCAAAGAGAGGTGGGGACCAGGAACCAGTAGCTCAGACCCCCTTCCAGTTCTCTGGATGGAAGACGAAGGGGTGCAGGATAAACCATGGTTTCTGAAAATCCCAAAGCATACTAAAGGGATTCTTTAATGCCCTGATAAAGGTCCAATAGAGAAAAATATAAGCGAAAAGTTCAAGCTGAGGTCTAATGAAAGCTCTTCTTTGTCAATGCAGTCTTAGCTAAGCACTCCACATAGGGCTAGGCTCACAACTCTAGCCCATTGAGTTCTCAAGGCATCTTTCTTTTCCCAGGGTGGGGTTTTCCTCCCAGCCCCTAGTCTGAGGTAAACCCCTTTCCCTACTACGATTTGTTTTCTCGAATTCAGAACAAGAGCAGAGAGGTAAGCGATAAGGCCGCCTCAAGGCACTGAGTACGGGAAGGGAAGCTGCACTGGGCCGAGTTTGGAGGCTTTCAGAGATACTGCCCACTTCTGAAGCTGCCCTGATGTGTGGGAAGGAAGAGCTCTGGGTCTGTGGCCCTGGTGAGACTAACACAGCAGCCAGGCACACTGTCGGGCAGGCAGGACAGTGTGGCTTAAGCAACCGGGAGTCAGTGGTGTGGGCAGGAGGACTTTGCCGCTACAGATTTCAGGGGAGAGCAAGACTCCATGTAGGTGGAAGTGATGAAGAGGTGGCAGAGAAAAGCCTCCATTCTAAAGAATAGTGTTTGTTTCAGCTGTTGGGAAAGAATTTGGGGACACACACAGGTCCCATGTTAGGGGAGACTCCAGTGCACTGGCCCTGAAGCATCTACAAGAGGACAAGACCTGGGCTCCAGGGTGGCAGCAAACACTGGTGGCTAAGATTATTTTTTTTAATTTGTTGGAAAATTAAAAGATTGACCCAAACAAGGGAGGGAGGGAAATCTCATCTTAAGCTCTGTGTCTTACCTTTAGGAGGGAATACTGCTTCCCATAAGTCTCTGTTGGGAGATCCCAGAGTTTCCTAGACATCAAACTCCTTTGACATTCTTTCTTGCCTTTCTTTTTTGTGTCAAGGAAATCCAGCCGCCAGCAGCTCTTTGCAGCCACTGGACTCTGTTTTATGGTAGCCCCGAATAAACTTTGGTGGTCAAATTCAAGTGCTCAGGCCTATAGCTGTCTTCTCACAGGAAGCTGCTTTCCCATTGTCAGCCCTGTCAGTGCAGTATTGCCTGGGGACTCGGGTACCACATTGCCCTGGAGACCAGGAGGGTAAAAGAAGTGGCAGGAAGGTGGAGGAGAGGGGAGTGGGGAATTCAAGAACTGGAACCCTGGGCCCTAACCCACACCTCTGCAAGAGCTGGGGGTACCTCTCGCTTCTTTCTTGCTTTTCCTATCACTGTTTGGGGAGCATTTTGCCTCCAATAAATCGAGTTTAATGAGGTCAGTGTGAACCCCATAAAAGCCACAGTCCATAGTTCCCTGCCATTATAATTAAAAATGCTGGCCCCAGCTTGTCCTATAAAAGGGGCTCTCCAAGAAAGGAAAAGCAACAGTTTTTCTCCTAGTGGCCTCTTCCTGACTGAGGAGACCCGCGCTTGAGCACCTTCCACTTCAGCCTAGTTTCTCCTTGATGCCTTTAGTTCAGATCTGGATGGGATTAAAGGTCTTGGAAAGCAGCACTCTACACTGGGTGGGCAGAGGAAGTCTTTCAGAACCACTGCGGAGTGCCCACCCCAAAGATGATGGGGTCCTATGTCCCATGCAGACTCCACTCAAATTTATTATTCTAAAAGCAGGACACATTTGAAAAGCAAAAAGGTTAAGGGAAATGGGTTTGGGGTTATATTTGGAGATGAGATATCATTTCTGTGTCCTCTCCCTCTGATTTTGGAGTCTCAGTACCCTTCCTGTCTCAATGAAGAAAATCAAACCCAAATAACTTAAAGGAGGGGAAGCAGAAACCAGCTTTAACCAATTTGGGGTTGTAGAGAAGGTTGAGGTCCTTTCTGGATTTCCCTGAGAATACAGTGGGATGGACCTTGGGGCTTCAGTGCCTCCCTTTTATTCCCCCCGAGAAGAAAATCTTGTCCTGTGGTGCCTTCTAGATTCAAGGATTGCCTTCTTCTCGTACTCTGGCCCTTTAGACTCCGTGCAGAACCTTTCAGCAATGTAATCTAGTACTCTAGTATCTGTCCACCTGTGGTACCCAGAGATATCAAAGCAGGGCAGAGGGCAGAACCGCCTACCTCTTGGGACATAGCCATTAAGGAGGCTGGCAGGCACAGAGCCTGCAGACCAAGACTGAGAAGAAGGAGGCACTGAAAACCAGCTGCAGCTCTCCTAAGCCAGGCTTCTCCTAGGGAGCGGTCCCTGCCCTTCCCACCAAGAATCCACAAGTCCTTCCCACCGCCTTGCTGATCTGTCCTGGAGATCAGCCCTGGCCCTGCTGCCCACTTCACAGCCCTAAATCATACAAGGATGGGAGTCCCAGCGCCCCCTCTACCCTCTTCCTGGACCCTGCAGCTGGCTATCTGCTCAGCTTTCTGGCCAAGGTTGAGGAGCCCTTGTGATGCAGTGGTCCAAGTACCCAGCCATAAACGCAGAGGTTGATGCTTCTAACCCACCAACTTGGTGTGAGAAAGATGTGGTGGTCTGTATCCAAAACTACTATAGCCTCAGAAACCTTATACGCTGTCCTATTGGGTCACTAGAATCAACTGATGGTAGTGGGGTTGTTTCTCTGGGGTTTTGGCGAGGCTGACCCCCCCAACCCAGAAGGCCCTGACAAAAAAGATCCGAGGTTCTTCCTTCTTGAGTCTTTTTTCCCCCTTTGGGGTTTAGGATTTTTAAATTCCACAGTGGAAGTAGCTTTCTACACATTGATTGACAATAAAGGCAGGCATGAAATATTCACCCAGGGCCACTCTCTCATACTAAATATTTAACACAACATTAGAGAAGGTTTTTCCCAGACTTCGCCAGGCACCGGCTGGGCGGCTGGCGCGCTGCTCACCACTGTTTATGACTAATTTGGAGTCCCTTGCCGGCGGCAGCTCAGCGAGCCAGGCAAAGTCAGGACACTGACTTGCAGCTGAGCTGGCTCACCTTTGGGAAACTTCAGAGACTATTCCTGGAGGGTCTCCGCATAAGAGAAAGGGATCTTGACCCCAAGTCCCTGCCAGGAGAATAGACTTCTTCACACTCGTGCAGACAGACACCCACCCCCTGCCTCTTGGAGGAGTAAGAGCCCCTGAGACTTGCGAGGGATGGATAGGGATGCATCTCTCTCTCTCTCTCTCAAAGAAGTCTTCGCCCTCACTTTTCTGTTGATCACTAAGCAGAGGCAAGACCCCCCCAATATGTGAAAACCCACCTCCTTCCTCCAATCCTGGGGGGGAAGAGAGAGAGAGAAAGAAAGAGAGAGAGAGAGAGCGCGCAACAGCAGCAGCAGAAGCTAAGAAAAAAAAATACAATACCCCCCCTCCCAGCCGCCCCCGCCCATCCCACCGCCCCCCACCCCAACCCTCTCTCTCCTCCTTCGCTCGCTCTGTGGAATGGAGAGGAGGGGAGTGACGAGAGAAAAACGAATACAAATCTGCAATTGATTTTCATAATGTTTCTGCGGTGTTTGCAAACCAATCGCCTGAACGTCCCGATCTTACCTAAGAGAGAACCCCTCCTACGTCTGCGAAGTGCTCGGAACTGATATATGACAATATCTACTTTGGATCACGTGCTCGGGGAGAGAGACTAAGACGGATAACGCGTCATCTCGCCTTCCCAAATTTTTCCCCCTCGCTAGACCGGGTCCAAAACCTCCATCCGGAGCCGGCAGGAGAGGAGAACGATGTTTAACTCGGTCAACCTGGGCAACTTCTGCTCGCCGTCGCGCAAGGAGAGGGGCGCTGAATTCGGCGAGCGGGGCAGCTGCGCCTCCAACCTCTATCTGCCCAGTTGCACTTACTACGTGCCCGAGTTCTCCACGGTCTCCTCCTTCCTGCCCCAGGCCCCCTCTCGGCAGATCTCCTACCCCTACTCGGCCCAAGTGCCCCCGGTGCGCGAAGTCTCCTACGGCCTGGAGCCCTCCGCCAAGTGGCACCCCCGGAACAGCTACTCCTCCTGCTATGCGGCGGCCGACGAGCTCATGCACCGGGAGTGCCTGCCTCCCTCCACTGTCACCGAGATCCTCATGAAGAACGAGGGCTCCTACGGCGGCCACCACCACCCCAGCGCCCCGCACGCCGCCCCCGCCGGCTTCTATTCCTCCGTCAACAAGAACAGCGTCCTGCCCCAAGCCTTCGACCGCTTCTTCGACAACGCCTACTGTGGCGGCGCCGACGCGCCCACCGAGGCCCCCTGCCCCGGCAAGGGCGAGGCCAAGGGGGAGCCCGAAGCGCCCCCGGCCTCGGCACTGGCGTCCCGGGCTGAGGCGGGTGCGGAGGCCGAGGAGGAGACCACGAATCCCAGCTCGTCCGGTTCAAGCCATTCGGCCACCAAGGAGCCGGCCAAGGGAGCCGCCCCCAGTAGGTAGCCGCGACCAGGGCCGGGCGGCCGGGGAGGGAGGGAGGGAGGGCGAGGCAGGGGGAGGCCAGGGGAGCGGGGGGCCGCCTCGTGTTTTGGGTCAGTCCGATTTTATGTGGAGTTTTATAAGCATTCAAAGGATTTTATTATAACCTACAAAGCCCTCTCTCCCAACGACTCGACTTTTTACGATGGAGAAGGGGTGGGGAGGGAGGGTAAAGAGCTCTTTGGAAAAGCCGGGTGAACCCCCCCTCCCCCGTTATCTCCCTCGGTCTGTGAAATTTTTAAAAGCGCCACCATCGCGGGTGATATTAACTTTGATCGTGAACTTAGAGGAGCATTTAAGGAAGGATGAGGAGCCGGGCTGCCTGAGGTGGGAGGGAGGGGAGGGGTGGAGGGGGAGAAAGGGGAGGGCGAGGGAAAGACACTGAGGGAAGCCCAGAGAGGAGGAGAGGTGGGGAGCCGAGGCAATGGAGCAGAACCTCAGGCCGGAGAGGCGAACCGGGGCAGGGCTGCTGCTTTTAAAAACTATTCTTGAAAATGTTCAGACTATGCATCTGCGGGTCCTTGACTAGAACCCCGAGCCAGCCGGGGGCCGGGGGTCAGCAGCAGCGGGAGAAGGGACTGAGGCCACGCCGGCCTCTAGGCCCCTCCAGCCCGGAGCCTCAGCGAGCCCCTCGTGCGCACTCAGGGCTGCCCCGGTCTTGTGTGGAGGGCGCAGCCGGTGTGTGGCCCGGGGAGCCAAGGCGCAGGAGACCACAGGGGGCCAGGGCTCAGGGGGCCAGGGCCCAGGGAGCTAGGGCGCAGGGGGCCAGGGCGCAGGTAGCCAGGGAGCAGGGAAGCAGCTCCTGGAGTCTTTCCTGTCTGCTTGCTTGCTCCTCGCCTCTTCACTTCTCTCCTGGATCTCCCTTATTTGCGCCAGTTCGCCGAGATCCTACTACATTTCTGGAGGAGGGAGGGAATGGTGGGTGTTCAGAGTTACTGTGCGACAAGAGCAGGAAGGGGCCCAGGGGCCGTGGAGGCGCAGGCAGGGGGCCCACGGAGACGCACGTGGCCCTGGCTGCCTTTCCTGCTCCCCTGTCTCGCCCTGAGTGTGGGGAGCAGGCCCCCGTAGTCTGGAGTTGGCACAGCTAGGTGGTCGCTGCGTCCCCGGCTCCGTGGGCCAGGGCGAGGAGCTCTGGCCAGCCTGGCGGGAGGGCGGCCTGGCCGGCTGGGAGCAGGGCTGTGCAGCGCTCGGCGGGCTGGGGTCGCCCGGGTCTCACGTGTCTCTCTTCCCCTGTCCTCGCACTTGCCCCCCTCCTCCCCCTCCAGATGCCCCCCGCACCCGCAAGAAGCGTTGCCCTTATTCGAAATTCCAGATCCGGGAACTGGAGCGAGAGTTTTTCTTCAACGTGTATATCAACAAAGAGAAGCGGCTGCAGCTGTCCCGGATGCTGAACCTGACGGACCGACAAGTGAAAATTTGGTTTCAGAACAGAAGGATGAAAGAGAAAAAACTGAGCAGAGACCGGCTGCAATATTTCTCGGGAAACCCTCTACTGTAACCAGCAGATCGGGCCCTTTTGGGGGGAGGGGGGAGAAGGGGAAAATTATTTTATTTAATTTTTTTTAATTTTCTAACTTGCCTTCTTTCTGTGGGTGGAAAATTGGACTGTGGCCAGGTTGGCCCCCCACTCCCGTTGCGACACTCCTTTCTAGAAGCTCCTTCGTCTTCAGTCTGACTCTTGCTGTGGGTCAGAGACAAGGCTGAAACGAGGGCAAAGGGGACGTCTGACCCACGCGAGTGGACATCGTTGGCGCTGAGGCCAAGACTCTTTATTTAAAAGAAAGTACACCTGACGACACTGTCTTGCTGCTCTGATTGGGTGGGGGCCAGGGCGAGCGTAGTGGGCAGCTGTAAGGAACAGTCTTTGAACTGCAAGCCTTCCCTTGCCCAAGTGTAAGATCTGCTGAGACTCCCCGCCCCACCCCACCTTGCCCCACTGCTGGGGGGAAGCTAAATGTGACCCTTCATTGCTGTGAAATGTCTGTACCTTCGACCTGGTGTTAGGTGTGCAAAGTCCGTGCCCTACCTCTGTTCTGTCTGGGCCCCACATGACTCTAGCTGTTCCCCCTTCCCCATAAACGTGTAGAGTCTTCCTTTGAAATTTCTTCACTGGTGCATTGAGGTTTCCTAATCTTTTCCCAAGCCGCACCCCATTCCGGTGGACTGATAGCGATAGACTATGCAGTTGTTCTTTTTAAAGAGAGATTTTTTTTAAATTTTTTTTTAAGAGAGAGATAAAGAAATTGGGGTGGAGGCAGTAGAACTGAGATTGGGTGCCTCCCCTGTGCTGGGGCCTGAATTTTTGTAAATACATTTCACAAGCTTTTCTTTCTACCCAGAGGGCTTGGGGGTAGGAGGATGCGCCTGGAATGCGAGCCCAGTCCCCCATCCCTCTTCATGTGTGAGAGTGTGTGTGTACATGTGCAATCCCCACCTTGCTCCCATCCCAGAGGGATTGAATGTGAATTTTTTTTGTGGCAAATAAAGGCATTTCATTCTGTTCAATATTATTTTATTTGACCCTTTTATTAGCCCCTCTTCTTTTAAACCCCTCTGTACTCCTGAGGTGGAGGAGGAGGCATTGGCAAGCAGGCAGGAGCCTGGGAACAGGCCTGTGGAGGTGGGCTAGGCCCCAGGAGAGTAGCGGGCCTGCCCCAGCTCCCCATTGGTGGAGCAAGAGCATGGCAGTCGCTTCCTCTCTCCCTCTTAAGCTGAGGACATTCCACAGCTACTCTTAAACACTCCTTTCTCACGTGCAGCTCAAGCTGGAGCTGTGTCCAACCGCCCAGCGACGCTTTCCGTTTAAGTACACGTTTGTTGTGGAGTTAATTGTAACCATCATCGAATTTAAATTTATAGGAATTTCCTTGGCTCCACCACCCTCCCACCAGATGTCTCCGTCTGTCAGTTAAATGTGCAGGGTTGAGGTTAAGGCTTTCATTTTTTTCCCCTTCTGTGAGAAGACTGTACTGGAATTTTTATATACAGTTTTGAGGGAAGGAGGGGAGAGAAGCTAGCCCCCTCTTTTTTCTATCTAAGGCCCCAGGGGTTGAGAAGGTGAGGCCAGGCCCCTTCCCCTCTAGCACAAATGGCCAGGCTTCTCCAGACACAACAAGACATCTAGGCCGGGGCCATCCTGATGTTTATACATTGGATCTCCCGGAGTAGAAAACCCCAGAGATGTGTTTTTATAGAGATTGGCATGAAGAGAGATACTGGGGAAGGAGGTGACCTTAGGAAGGATTACCACATCCATCTATATTTGTTGCATGGGTTTTTTTTCTGTATAAAGATAACCATTGATTGTCCTTTTAGCACTTTTAGAGAGGGGATTCTGTGGTTTGCACCCCAAATTAATTATTTGGCGCCACAGGTTAGGAATCAATTCTTTCATCATTACCAGCTCTTTGAAACTGTTGTATAATGCTAAAAAACTGTTTTTGCTAATATAATTCTATTGAATGAAAGGGGTGAAACATCGAAACTGTTGCGTCTAGATTCTGCCATTGTTTTTAAAGACAGGAATCCTGTATTTGACTCTCTAATTTAGAAATGTGAGTTCTAAAATGAGGTACTCAGACTGGGGTGTACATGCAGCCCCAGTTCTACAGTTGCTCCTTTATGCCCAGATATTTTATTGTAGTCAATGTGCATGTGAGAAGGAATATTACTTGTACGCTTTTGCCTGTTATATGGAGTAAATCTGAACACGTGCACATCTAGGACTTGTGTCCTCTGGAGTGTGTAATCACCTACAGTGTTTACTGCAGGAAAGCAACTGTAGGTCCTATGTGCGTGTGTGTGTGTGTGTGTGTGTGTGTGTGTGTAAGAGAGAGATAGAGGAATAGAGAGGTAGAGAGAAGTGAGAGACTTTTCCTGATATAATATTTATTCACACTGGAAAGCACGAGCTTGCCAGCCATATTATCTGTAACACAGGGTGATGATAACCTCATAGAATGAATTGGTTTATAAAGCAAATTATTAATTTCTAAATGGCTCCTGATTTTAGAGAAAAAATTTTAAAATCTGTAACTGCCATTTCTTTTTGTGATACGTAGGAGAGAGAGAGGGAAAGAGAGAAAGAGAGAGAGAGAGAGGGCGAGAAAGAAAGAGAGGAAGGAAGGGGAGAGAGAGAGAGAGAGAGAAAGAAAGAGAGAG